AGTTGGCTGGAGCCACCCTGCGTTCTGCTCCTAGAAAATCTCCTGGGAGCAACGGGACACTGACGTCTTAATGGAGTGAGCTTTCCGAAACAAGGGATGAGAAGATTGCAGCAGCTACTGAAACAGTGCTGTTTACCTCCTAGACCTGACATTGGAGGGAACCTTCAGGGGAACTTCTGAAAAGCCCAATAAAATCCCATGAAAGATTCACATGTAAGCATCTGCCAGATCCAGACGCGTGCAAAGCTATTTCACAGGCACACCGTTCCAGTAAGAATTTTGCTGGGCCCTTTTCGTTCTCATCTCTCAGGGCTCTGGCCCCAGAGGAAGCTTAAAGTTAGAGGGTAGAGAACGAGAAAGAAAAAGTACTGTATTTCCTTCTCTTACAGCATGTTCCCTGTGAAGAACTGGCTATGGATGGGACAGGGAGAGGAGCCTTACTTTTAAAAGTACATTGAGGAGTCAGCAGGTAGTGTGGTGATTAAGGATTCCCACAGGGTGGACCGTGGTTCAAGTCCCAGACCTGGCAGCTTGAAAATCATGCTGGGCAGGGGTGTATATGTGCCCCAAATCCCAGGAGGACAATGGAGGAGAAAAGACTGTGGCAAGGCCACCACCCCTAGGAGGTGATTTCTCACTTTTCTTCTCAATGTCTCTCTCCAGAGAGTACACACGCCCTGTGGCAAAAACCTTAAAAAAAAGGATATTGAAACATTGATCATACATTAGACTGGAATTCCACTTATAAATCAAGACTGTGTGTTGTTTTCTTGTTGTTATTTCAAGTGTATTTATTTATTTATTTATTTCATAAGTGAAAGACAGTGAGGCAGAGACAGAAAGAGCCTCACCCTCAACAGGACGCTGACACTGTGGCTCACTCTCGACCTCGGCCAAGCACAGACCATGGCATGCATGTGCCCAGAGTACTCAGGAAGGTGCCTTGGGGGACCCCAGAACCCTTTGATGTGGGTCAGCCTTGTAGAGCATCATATTTCACTTCTGTGCCACCATTTTGCCCCAGGGCTGTGTGCTTTGGCTTAAGTTGATGGTAGGACTTTCTACTCTTTAAGTAACAGAACATCCTTAGAGTCTGTCAGAGCTTTCATCTAACAATAAACTTCACTGAATACATTTTAAAGAGCAGTGGAAATCAAAAGTGAGTTTCATGTCAATTACATCTTACTCATCATACATGCTCAACATTACAGTTACATACCCAAACATACATTTTCATTCTACTAGAAATGTAATCAAGATTTCTTATGAGCTCTTCATCTAAAAGAACAAAAGAGGGACCAGCAGTTAGCGTTCTGGCTATGTCTCTGGACTCCCATGTAGTCGACCGTGGTTCAAGTCCTGGACCTGGTGGCTTAAACTCACAATGGGCGCATGTGCATGCGTGCCCAAGATCCCGAGAGGAGAATGGAGGAGAAGGGATTGCGGCGCGGCCATTCCCCTGGGGGGTGATTTCTCACTTTCTGTCTCTCTGTCTGTCTGGCGAGCACACGTGCCCTATAGCAAAAACCTCTCAAAAAAAAAAAAAAAAAAAAAAAAAAAAAAAAAAAAAAAATGTAATTAAC